TTCGGGCCCGGTTCCCCGGCCCTGCACCTGTGCGGGTCCCGTCTCGGGGCAGGCGGGAAGCAGCTGGTAGTTGGCACGAAGGGCAATGTGCAGGGAGGGGGCGCTTCTGCCACAGGCTTCACGGGGGCAGGGTCCACCCATCAAGCAGTCAGGGCTGGGCACTCAGGCTGGCCCCTTTTGGCTGTTTACCTCCCTTGGTCTTGGCAGGATTCAGGATCAGGGACAAAACAGGAAGGGGAAAAAACATCCCCCAGGAGTTATGGTGTGTGTTTAGTCATCCTGTTCTACTCCAGCAAACACCCTTCAAAGCTGGGTCACATGGCTAGTGCGACACCAGCAGCCTGTCTTACCCTGACAGGGAACACAACTACACCCCAGCCAGAACCCAGTATTTTGCGGTGTAGGCTGCCTGCACAAATGTCTAGGTTTTGCACAGATAAGAAAACTTAATGCCAAAGCAAGAGATCCAGTGACCTCTCAAATAAATTGTAAAATTAGCAATCCAGAACATAGTCATTTATATTCACTAGCACAGAGTCCATTAACTTACAGAAACTGGGATGTACATAACAAAAACTCCAAAGCTAGCTAGCTATCATATTGTAATCTCATTTTGGAGTGCTATATAGAAAGAATCAGCATGCAAGGGACTAGAAGCAAAAACTTAAGGTGTAAATTCACATACAAACCGTTCCACTGGCTTTAGTGGGACAAAAAGCAAGTGTGTGGAGTTAGACGCCACCTTAAGTGGTTGCAGCATTGGAGCTGGAGGATATGTGGCATGCATCAGATAAGCAAACTCAGAATCCCCCACTTCTCTGAAGTTCAAGGCCAAACATTAATATTGAAAGGAAACAAATATTTCAAGATTGATTACCTACATGACACCACTCCTTCGTTTTCAAAATTATTTTGACAGGGACCAAACTAGATGTTAAATCAACAGAATTCCCACATTCAACTAAGATTGTGTTGTCTCTGGCTGAAATGAGACAACTTTCTAATTTTTTTTTCTCTAAACAGAAATCTTGAGTTGATTCATCAGAAATGTAAGAATTGTTCTGGGACAAATCTTTCCCACTAACAGAAGCATGGAAGTTCCTCGAAGCCTCACCTCGGTTTTATGATTCTATCACTGTATGGAGAAATGGGCACAGGCAGGCTAAAAAGGAAAACTCTTTATTCCCTAAAAGGTGCTGAGCACTGTGGGCCAAAAGGTATCTTTATAACAGCCTGGAAATAGGCAGGATGTAGTAGTGTTATATGTGGATTACACGGATTGAAAACTCAGTCTAGGGATCATACTGTAAACAGAATGGCCACAGAATAACTACTTCATAGGCTGCTAGGTCAAGGATTCACATAGGTCTGGGACACAAAGCCCAAGATTAGACAATTAGTCTTTAATGTTTTGATTCTACACATTCCATTTCTAAACATCTGAAGGTAAATCAAATTTGACAATGCCCATGTAAGCATCAGTATCATTTACAGAAAAAGAGACCTCGCATGGATCTGTACGGAATGGTTAAGAAACCACTTAAAGAAATCGTTCTCCATGGAGGTAAACAGACCAGGAAAACTCATTTATTGGTACTGAATACTATACAGTAATGAATAGGAACCTAAAACTGAAGTTTAAATGACTGACTTCGTACAGAACAAGCATTGAGAATTGTTACAAAAATCTATTAGGTACATGTTATATCTATTTGCAGAAGATTCAAAATTCATGATACTGAGAACCCAAACTAACAAACTCATTAACAAGATAAAAAAGACCTTCGTTGAATGAAAATGTACAGAGATTAATTACTGTACTTAATTTTTCAAAATGTCCGCATTACCAAAGCTACATGCTACATATCCAGAGTCATAAACAGCACAGGTAGGGTCCCCCCCGCCCAATATAATATTTGTAAGCAAAATTTTTGGTTCTGTTTTAACATCACTAACGTCACTTTTTTATACATTGTAAATAATGTACCTAAGGAAACATAATACTACTCTGTCAAGTAGTAATACAAAACTGTACATTATGCTACAGTGGTAAAACAAGAGGATCAGATGTCCTACAAATTGATGGGATGAGAATGCAAACAAGAAAAATGGATCTGTTAAGCATGGCTGCTATATTTAAAATACTGATAAATCTTAAAATACTATGCAACAAACCTTTGAAAGATAAAGGGGCAAGCTGTGTTCCCATTACATCTGTGTAAATTCAGGCAAAATTCACTGAATGTAGTTACGCCAACTTTATATTGGTTCAAGTGAGAGCAGGATTTATTCAATGTTACCAGTTATATATAATGAGATCTGATTCTCCTTTTGCTTATACTGGGGTAACTCTATTAATTGTAGTGAAATTACTCTGGATTTACACAGTTGTAAGAAGAAAACAGACCCCATTTGTCGCACCTGACAGTGCCCTTTCAACCATTAAGCAATGGCCTTTTAACCATTTTTTATTCAAAATGTCAAGGCTGAACATCATTATTTTCGGTGCAGTGTAAGATAAATTAATTGTTTACTTTCAAACCGTGCTCTTTAATGTTATTGATACATTCATTTGAGTGAATTCAGTGCTTACAAAAAGATGCTGAAATAGCAGTTTTTGAGACTACAGCTACACAGCAGAGATCACAGCACTGCAAGCCTTCCCACGTGATCCAGGTGACAAAGGTGAGGATGGAAACTGCCCAGCTTTGCTTTCTCTCTCCTGTCAACTGTGTTTCACTCCTTAAGGCCTCTATGGTTAAGAACGTAGTCCCAATTTCTCTGTCTGTTCTGATCCTTGTATAAGATGGCCTTCTTTCTGGCTGCCCCATAGAAGTACTGGGGAAGAAAAAGGCACTCCTCCCCTGTAAAGACCTGTGCAAGATAAGTGTAAGTCAGCCTTATTTTGTAATACTCAGATTTTGAAATATGAATTCATTTTTTGTAAATTAGTTCAAATGATGAGACTGTGCCTGATCTCAGAGATACAAGTTGTTTGTAAATTAGAAAGGTTCATAGTAGGTATCATTCGTTACCAGAGCAGCACAAAACTAAAATAAGCAATGTTCATAGTAGTAACCAACAGTCCATGAACTAAATCTGTATCTATAAGAAGTCATTAATATTTAAAGATAAAGGCTCATTAATATTCACTTGGCAATTTCTGAAGGTGATCTAAGTATCATTTGGGACATACTATACTACTTGACTGCTCAGAAACAGTGTCAAAGAGACCTTTGCCATACAAGATCCAAGGGAGAAACTGCTGAGCATTTTAACAAAAATACACAATTAACAATGTATTAGATAGGTCCATGTAATCCTAATATTTGGTTCACTCCAAGAGCAGTAATTGGAAAATGGTTATTATGATAAGGATATTGTTACATAGATTTTTTAACATTTTATTTTAATTATTAACACTTTGTACTTAATGCTAGAAAACAAAGAGGATTTTCATAACAAGACAAAATTATATATTGCATATAGTGTTAAAGAAACCAGGTTAAAAGAATATTATTTTTGTTGTAAAGTCACATATTTAAACTCAGGAAACATTGCTGTTGCACTGTTAATTCTTCACTTTTGTGTGGGTGATAAAGTGTTATTAAGGGCTCATGGAAAAACAACACGTGGTCATATTATTAGAGATCATCATAATCCATGTACATAAAAAGCCAAAATTAAGATTACACAGGGTCTTTAGTTTACAACCTGAATTCTATTAACATAGGTTTTAAGTATAATTTCCCAAGTTTTATTTTTAAAAGAATATAAGACCATAAGAAATATACTGGGTCAAACCACAGACCTACCTAGCCCAGTATCTCTGTATCTCACAGTGGCACAGAGTAGATGCTAAAGAGAAGAGTATTTATGCATGGCTTATCCATAATGATCTTCCCGTGCCCCTCTTGTTTTACCGCTTCCAGGATTTAGACCTAGGAAGTCCTCTCATCTTGCACCTATAAAGTTTAATACCCTCTGATGGATCTTTTTTGCAAAAATGTATATAATGGTCTTCTGAACCTGGTTAAATTGTAAGCAAGGGCAGATCCAGGAATTTTGTCAAGGGAGTGCAGAAGCAGTGACTGGAACTGCAGGTGTGACTACACCCTAGCTTCCAGTTTACCCCCACACCAGGCCGAGTCAACCACACCATAGAAGCAGCACCCAAGGACTTTTTTTTTAAGTCCCCAGATTAGACAAGAATCCCATGTCTCACTGCTCTTGGCACTCCGTCCCTTTCCCTCCGTGTTCAGCCCATCTCCTCCCTTCCCATTCTACATACTCCCCAGGGCACCATTGCTATTGTCCCCAGCAGACTCAGGAGATAAGAGGGAGTTCCAGAGCTCCTCCTGCCCCACTCCAGCCAGGCTGTACAGGCAGCCAGGTTCAGCCAGAGTCAGTGGTTGGTGGGTTCCTCCTCCCTAAGAGCCTGCTCCCAGGTATCAGGGAACACTTGGGGGGACTGGGCAGGGAGGGGGAACCCATCTGCTGCAGCCACTGCCACTATCCATAGTTAAGTCTGACTGGCCACACACCCTGGCTAAATCCTGGAGCCCAATCCCCATGTGTGAGACTAGGCAGAGGTGGTGCAGGGTCTGATTTGGCCTGCAGATCTGCCCCACACCTCTCGTTTGTTCCATAGGGCCAAAATGTTGAGCACCACTGATATACAGGAATTGAAATATTCTGTCAAAGTTGGACGTAGAACTGTAAAAGTCCAACATTGCAGACCAAAATCTTATCCATTCAGATAGGACTATTCAAAGTCTATGTACCCAAGATCACAGATTTGATACCCTGTTGCCAGTTACTCATGCTAGTGACTAGAGATCACTCGCCTGAAGTAGGACTAGGAACTAGGATTCATGATTTCACATGCTGCATATAATTTGCTACAAGATACATGTCAAATGTGCATCTTGTGACTGTTCTTTATGGAGAATAATGACTATGCTTTTCCTGTAATATGAATCATGGAAGTCTGTGGTTCAACTCCTACTAATAATCCACATGAGGGATCATAATGTTGGAAAACAATGGAATTCTTTTCTTCACATTTCTTTTTTAAAAATGGTTTATTTGACACACAATAAGGAATACTTTAAAGAAAGTGTGCATAGTTAAATAGTATAGTGCATCAAGATTCATAACAGGACATGCAACAAAAAACACAACTATCCCTCATTTTGGTCACTTTTTATACAATTTGATTGCTTTACCCATGCATTGAGATAGGCTTCAAGTTTGAGAGGTGCTTTCTTGCAAATATGCAGTCAGTGAAAATTCTTCCCTAACCCAAGATTTTGGTAATCAGTTTAAATTTAAAGTGTGAGAACAAGCAGCAGATACATATTTCAGAGTTCTTCCCTACGTGGCTTAAACTATTGGAATTGGTGAGATATAGTGATATAATTACCTGATTAAACCCCATATATTGCCAGAAGATAGAAGCATCAGTAAGAATATTGGCTAAAGCATAATTTTGGCTCAGGGATGGCTGTAAGAAATGGTTTTGTTCACTTAAATTATATGAAAATAAAAATGACCAATTAGGGATCCCTGAAGGCTAATTAAATGTTTTGTGACATCAGTGCCATGTACCTAATGGTATTTTGTTAAAATAAAGAAAAAAAGATTAAAGGCACAGACCAAAGTGAAATTTTTCATCCAATCTGGCCACAGAACACAGTTTATCACCATGACAAAACACAAGTGCATGGCTGAAACAGCTTAAAAAATGGCTGATCAGGTGAAAATCTAACCCTTCATGAGGGGTCAGAGGAAGAGGTTTCAAAACAGAGTGTCTTCTGCAGTGCCGTAGCAAGAAAGTTTGGCACCCAGGGCAGGACCGAAAAACACCACCCTCAAAGTTTAATACCTATAAAAACAATCATTGTAATTGTGTGCCAAATAAGAAAAATATTATATTTATGACCGTATCTACAAAAATTACAATTCAAAAACACACTTTCTGCGTTGGTTTCAGGAGCCATGTCCTGGCAAGGAGTGGGAAAGGTGGCTTATACCACCCCTACATTGGGCTCCAGTAGGGCATAAGTGGGCTGTACCAAGGCCAGTTGCAGGGGGAAGGGGGTGGGGAGGAGCATGGCCTATACTGTCTCTAGTGGGTTATGGAATAGAGAAAATCCCACACAATTTACTGATTCGTTTTGATGCACTGGCTGGGGGAGTAGTTAGCTGATTGCACGATTTCACAATGATTACACACTTAATTCATACAACACAATTTTATTTTAAAACTCTTTGCTACGTATATAACACTGCTTAGCTTTAAGAAACACCACAAACATTAAAAACACAATAATTACATATATCAGAAACAATGCTCCGAATGCACTTCCTTCCCAAACAATGCTATAAGAATTAGTGTTACAAAAACAACTACAATTACAACTAAAAGTTAAATTTGAATCAATACTGTTATTTTTCATAATATACTTACAATCCTAGAATTCCGAGAAGCCAAATACCAAAATATGGTTTCATTCCTCAGTAGTACAATTTAATGGGTTGGCCTCAGTAGTACGATTCAATGAGCTGGGCTCAGCAGTGATAGGACTAAGTCCCCTTCCTTCAGTCCCTTTCGGGCGCTCCGCAGCTTCAGCGTGAACTAAGAGATTTGTGTTCACGGAGAGGTTGGGTCAGGTGATCAATCTGGTCCGGGCTACACTTGCGATTCTTCCTTCATTGTTCTGCAAGTGAAGTCACCTCCAAATTGGGACAGTAAGTTACAGGTTTTTATTGAGTGAGCTGCCGTCAGTGGGCTCCTCCTACTCAATTTGTCACTACTCCCAAATTTGGGCTCGGATCTTACTCAACAGATTCTTTTGAAATTACCTTTGTTGAGCATTTTAAATTACTCTTGGGGAGACTTCTTCCATATCACTGTAAATACCTTCTTTTTTTTTTTACCAGTCTGGTTAAAAGGCCCTAGGCTTTGATGTCTCGGAACTCAGGATATTTGCTTTCTTTGTAAAAGACTTCTAAAGATACAATTTAAATTAAGGCTTTAAGTGAAGTCAGGACATTTTACACGTAGCCCCAAAACAATGAGCTAGATAAGGAGATAAATCCAATCTTCTTCCTGAAACTGGCTAATGGGCAACCTTTACAAACATTCAAACTATTTCATTCAATATGACATATACCATAGGTGACACATAGGGGGGGCATATGCCCCCCTGAGAGCGCTGGTGCCCCTCCTGAGAGTAAGCTCTCCAGCTGCTAGGGGGGCACGGAGAGTGCTTGAGTCCCCCTGAAATCGGCTCCACCAGTGGGATGTCGACAGTGGAAGTGCCAGTGGTGGAAGACCTCCCCCCTGGGTCGCTGGCTGGCTGCTGGGGGGCCACCCCCCGGTCACGACCTGCTGGTGCTCCGCTGGACTCGGGTGGCACCAGTCGCCCAGGGGCTATACCAATGTGAGTGCACAGCCCTACCAATGCAGCCGGGGAGGAGGGAGGGAGGCAACGCCATGCAAATGCTGCTGGCAAGTGAGAGGACTGTACCAGCAGCAAGGGGTGGGGCAGCAGGCTGTAACAAGCCAGGCTTCAGCGGGGGCAGTGACAGAACCCCCAGGTAGCCCCAAGCATGGTGGCTCATGAGCTGTTTGCATGGGGGTGGGGGCAGGCATTCCACACAGGCTGTGTCACTGGTGGCTCACCCCACCACTGCCACCTCCCACCTTGCCCCTTCTCCTGCACTTGGAAGGCACCAGGCTGCTTGCTCCCAACCTGCTAGCACAATATTGACTCGCAACTCACCTGTTTCATAGTTTCATAGTAGCTAGGGTCAGGAGGGACCTGAACTTTGTGTCAGTTTTTCATCAACCCAAAGTGTCCGCCCTGCCTAGCAAGATGCTGGATGGCCGGGTGAGGGTGAATTTATACCCGGCATCAATGTAGACCTTGTAAAGGAACACCATCAGAGGCTGGACACCTTCAAGTCAGCGGGTTCTGACAGATTGCACCCTAGAATACTTAAGGAGCTGGCAGGAGTCATAGCCCAGCCACTGGCAAAGATTTTCAAAAACTTTTGGCACTCGAATGAAGTACCTCAAGATTGGAAGAAGGCCAATGTGGTGACCATCTTCAAGAAAGGGAGGAAAGTAGATCCAGAGAACTACAGGCCAATCAGCTTGACCTCAATCCCTGGATTCTAGAAAAAAATCAAAGAATCCATTCTTGACAAGCTGACTGATGGCAACATCCAGCATGGGTTTGTTGCGGGTAGGTCTTGCCTGACCAATCTCATCTCCTTCTATGACCAGCTGACATATCACCTGTACAAGAGAGAAGAGATTGACATCATATATCTGGACTTCAAAAAAGCCTTTGATCTGGTGTTCCACGATCTCCTCTTGGAAAAATTGGCCAACCATGACCTCAGCTACATCACAGTCCGATGGCTGGGGAATTGGCTCCGAGGCCGCACTCAGAGTGGTGGTCAATGGAAGTGAATTATCATTGAACTTCATGACCAGTGGTGTCCCCCAAGGCTCTGTCATTGGACCTGTTCTCTTTAACATCTTTCTCAGTGACATGGATATTGGTGTCTGAAGTGGACTGGCCAAGTTTGCCAATAACACCAAACTTTGGAGTACAGCATCCACATCTGAGCATAGGCTGGTGATCTGAGCTGACTTAGACAGGCTGAAAAAGTAGGCAGATACAAACCTGATGACATTCAATACCAACAAATGCAAGGTACTCCACTTCGGGGGAAAAACCCCGTAGCACACTTATAGGCTCGGCAGTGCTACGCTCGCTAAAACCAAGGCTGTCGCAGCTGATAAAGCAAACCAAACTGGCTTGCATCTACCGATGTATCTTGAGCAAAACCGAGGATGTCATCCTCCCACTGTACTCAGTCTTGGTGAGGCCGCAGCTGGAGTATTGGATCCGATGCTGGGCTCCACAATTCAGGAAGGGTGTGGAGAAGCTTGAGAGAGTCCCAGGGGAGGCCACGCGCAGTGCATCGTGAGAGGGCAAGAGAATAGGCCTTATGAAGAGAGGTTGAGAGTCATGGGACTCTTCAGTCTGGAAAAGTGCAGGCTCAGGGGTTACCTGGTGGCAGCCTAAGTACATTAGGGGTGTGCATCAGGATCTGGGGGAACATCTGTTCACCAGAGCGCCCCAAGGGATGACAAGGACCAACAGTCACAAACTCTTCCAAGACCGTTTTAGGGTGGACATAAGGAAAAACTTCTTTTCTGTCCGAGCCCCCAAGGCCTGGAATAGACTCTCCTCAGAGGTGGTGCAAGCACCTACTCTGGACTCCTTTAAAAAGCGTTTGGACACTTACCTTGCTGGGATCCCTTGACCCTAGCTGACTTCTTGCCCCTGGGGCAGCGGGCTGGACTCAATAATCTCGCGAGGTCCCTTCCAGCCCTAATGACTATGAAAGTCTATAAAAAATGTTTCCACTGCTACAACATACAAACCCAGAAAACAAACAGCACTCAATAAATCCAAGCTTGCAAATTTGAAAAAGGGGAAGAACACTGACATTAGAAAATTACAGAGAAAGTTGGACATCCAGACCAAGTAAGCCAGTGGTCTCCAACCTTTTTAAGGTGAAGATCATTTTTTGAAGTAAAGGGCAATGCAGGATCTACTGTGACCCCCCACCACCTCTGCCCCACCACCCAGCATGTCAGTCTGGGCGGGGGGAGATTGAGACCCCTGTGGTGAGGGAGGGAGTAGGCCAGGAGCTGGGGGAGTGGGGTTGGGCCAGGCTGGACCGGGGGAGGGTTGGAGCCTGGGCGGCTCATCCAGGCACAGGGGGCTCTTGCCGTTGCACACACCCCGGTGGAGACCTAGGGCGCATGTGCTCCCCCCCCCCCCCCCCC